ACTTTTTTCAGAAACTTACTGTTAGGCAGACTGTAAAGATAAAAGAAATAGAATTTGGTTTACCAAAACCCATAAATCTGTAGTTCCAAAAAGTAAGGCTTTGCCATTCTTATCGCAAGCTTTCAAAAAAAAAAAAAACTTTGCTGGTGCGTCCAACACAGGCTTCCGTTTGATCCTTTTTTTTTTGTATTTCTTTTCTCTGCAGAAATATAAAAATAAATAAATAAATACGATATATATATATATATATATATATATATATATATATATATATCATATTGTTTAGTTTTGCACCAGTGTTTCCATTATTTTTGCACCTCTTTCTTTCCCTTCCCCCTCTTGCTCACTTTATACCCTTGTAATATATGTATGTAAACTTGTTCGTCTCTCTATATCTCTTTGTGTGTGTGTACTTTATTGTAGTTTTTTTTTTTGTTCTTCTTGTTTTCTCTTTTCCTCTACAGACACACGAACGCACATACAAATACATACATGCAATAAAAACATGTATATTATACACATACACTTATCTCCACTTAAATACCACACTGGTTATGGATGATAATGCTGTTTCAGCTCCGGCTTATATATACCATTAACATCACTTGCACTCTTGGTTTCTCATTGTCATCCCCTCCCTTCCCCTCCCCCATTTACTTACAAAAAGGCAATACTCTTTCACTCTCTCTCCCTCTCTCTTTCTATTTACCTCCGTTATCCGCTAGGGACTGAAAAAATGCGGCCTCATTCCCTGGTGCGGGTCCTCTGCCAAAGAAACTCTTCTCCGTCTCAATATCGGTCTCATCACTCATCTCAAATGCTGTCTGTTCTAGCGGTGACTTGTTCGTTAGGGTTTTTCGCTCGTAAGCCATCAGTAATGCGTAGCGGGCGCTGAGGGCCTCTGCGGTGCTCATCTTCGCTAACTGCGCCATGGCCGTGTAGGCCACGCGGGAGGCCTCGTGTGTGCGGGGGAACGGCGGGCCCGGCAGGAATGAGTGGGCGCCGAATGCCCGCGCGGCGGAAGTGCCGTCGCTGAGCCGAGCGATGAGGCACGAGATGTTGTCTTTGCTGCCGCGGCGAATGGCCTCATCGCACACGCGGGCCGCCACCACCGCCAAGTCCGTGCACTTCGCCAGGTGTTGGTGCACAAAGCCCACCACCTCTTCGTTGGAGAAAGAACCCTCAAACACACCATCGCATGCGAGAATGACAACATCCCCCGCCCGACAGGCAACTTTGTTCACATCTGGAACAGCAATGACTTTTTGGTTTTTGTAGTCCTCCCCAACATCGCGGTGCTTAAAGGAAGTGTCGCCAAAGGAGCGTGAGACCGCCAAGTCGCCGTCAACGCGGTTGCTAACTACACACCCGCCACTCGCCTCAATCCGCTCACGCTCGTCAAGATTGGTTGGTTTGTGATCTTCTGTTGCGAAGATAATGCGGCCATCACGTGCGATAAGAGTTCGGGAGTCGCCTACATTGCAGACAGTGACGTTGTAGTCGCGCGTAATAATACAAAAAGTACCAGTGGATCCGCTTGAGTCGCCAACTTCATTTGCAAACTCCCGATCGAGAGAAACACAGACGTGTTCCATCTCTGTTGGGCCATAGTTGCCGTTGAGAGCCTTAACTTTACCTGGAAGGTGTGAGGCGATGTACTCACTGCAGCCACTGCCGTTGTGGCCGTCAAAGACACCGAGGAGACTCATCTCATTTTCTACAATCATCACATGTGCATCCTCCATGCTGGTGCGATAGCCATTTACGGAAACGCAAGTGGTGCCAATGTAGTTGCTACCAGCTCGGTCAACGACCTTGCTTAGAATCGGCTTTGGTAGCATAGACCCCATTGTTGCGTATTACCTCGTTTTCTCGGTTGTTTGATAAGTTGTTTAATGGTTCGGTTTACTTATTTCTTGTTTTGTTTTGTTTTTTCGGATTGTTTTGTACTTGTTTCTTTTTCTTTGTTTTTACTTCTTTTTTTTTTTTCTCTTGCTTGTTTCAATTCTATTCCCCTGTGCTAGTTATGGAAGAGATGCTAATAAACAGGGCTCCCTTCACTCTTGTACATCACCAACAAATAACAGAAAGAAAGGAAAGAGAGGGGGAAAAAAAAAACACATGGGAATATATAAGATTATACGTACATTAATATAAATATTATAAAAAGACAGAAAGAGTAAAAAAAAAAAAAAAGAGAAATAAAAAAAAAAAAAAGAAATGAGGAGGGGAAGTACTTTATGTCGTCAGAGGAAATATGATCCATCCACCCAGTAGAGAAACTAAGATATTTTGCTACAAACTTTAATACCTGTTAACCCAATAAGCGGTTTTTTTTTTTTTTTTTTTCCTTTTCTTTTCCATCCTTTCGTCACTATTATTATCTCTCTTCTCTCCCTTCTTCTTCAGCACGCCATAAAGAAGTGAATTCTTCTTCTGTCAACGGCACATTACGCACACGGCGCAACATCTCCTCTGTGGACTTCCCATCGTGACAGTCCTTCAGCCACAGCAGTGTCTCCTCCATGTCAAGCAACATGAGTTGTTCCTTCTCTCCCTGTAAAATGGCAATGGCCGCCATAAACATAATCCGCCAACCCTCCGCAAAGAAGAGATCCCACAAGCGAGATGTAAAATCGATAGGAAATTGATATGTATAAAGGGTAAGAAACCACTGAGAAGCAAAGAGAACAGCTTCTACTCCAGTCTCTAAAAAATGCCGGTGAAGTGACGGTAACAGACGCTCAATCAATCGATGCAGGATGGCGAAGAATACCTGCAGTAGTGGAAAACCAGGTAGAAACAATTCTCGCATTCTAAACAATGGTGAAAAAGAAAGATGTATAAGCATCCAAAAAGCTTCCTCCTCTGGTGCGTGTAGGAGAAGTGTAGCCGCAATAAATGCCATTCCCTGACAATATCCCACCGCCGGGTCAAGTTGACTGAAGGCAGAGAGAATACGCCGCAATTCCACCTGTCCAACAGAACCGTCACCAACAAAAAGACAATGTGTTGGAAATGTACGGCTGAGATCACACCGAATAACATCAGAGACACTCCGGTCTACAGGCATATCAGCAAGGGAAATATACCTTGCATGATGAGATTGAATAACACTCGCTGGACGCTGTAGTGATCCAGTAAAAAAACCCCAAACTAACCGTCGTAGAGTTGCATGCAGTACACCATTATAAAGTCTAATATGACGTCGCATTTGTTTCCCAACGCGCTGCTGCGCTTGCCGGAGTGTCATCACCTCTATAAACCTACTATCATTACTATTATCACTACTATTACTGTTACTATTACTGTTATTATTATTATTCAATTCTTCTTCACATTTATGTAATTCCAAGGAGAGTCGCAGGTAGCAACAAATACGACTTGTCCAGAATTCCTCTTCCCTCTTAAGCATTCCCTCTTCAGAAGTCGTCAGATTGGCTGGCGCCTCTGTTGTGGTATCATTCACAACGTAAAACCCAAACTTATCAATCGATGCTGGTTCACCCGTACGTACTGCCTGTACTTCTACATGTTTTGGCATCCCTTCTGAAATAGAGGCATACAGTACTACTTTACAGTAAAAGTTATTGTAGACGCCCTCCCTTTGTCTC